GTTATCGTTGATTTGGTATTCATAGTACAGGAAATTCGGCAGTAGTTTGGCATTTTTCCCCCTAAATACTTCTTTTTGGCATAGCTTTCAAGAAAATGAAATCTAACATAGAGACAGTTGAGATACAATAACGCTATAATAAGTATCTCATTTACACTACATCGGGAAGCATGCTTTACATTTTTACAATTGTGAGATCTTGTACTCGTAATCTATTACGTCTCCGTATATTATCTCCATTTGATGGCGTGCAGACCCTTCGGGCTTCGCCCTCCGCGGACCTCGGCCTCTGGCCTCGGCACTTATGGCTTTGTTTTAAAAAAAATTGATTGTAAAATAAAATAAAAAATAATTAATTGATGATTAAAGAGCTACAGCTCTTTAATGGCGGCCATATTTAAAAGTTGCAAAAATATATTTTGGCCACTTATTATTCACTTATCAAACAATCTTAGAAATCTTTTCTTGCCAATTTTCAGTCCGGGGAAAGCAAGTTTTTTCAATAACCATTTACATAAAAAAATACGGCTATATCGAAAAACGGCAGAAACAAAATTTTTACCCCAAGTTGTGATTGAAGCCATGCCATTTTCAGTCGAATTAGAAGAAATTTGTATCTACCACCAAAAAAGTTTGTATGGCAGCCATATTGAAAAATGGCAATAAATAAATTTTGACCGCTATTATTATTAAACACTCATAGAGACCCCGACATGTCCATTTTCAATCGAATTAGTGCAAATTTTTATCTGGCGCTAAAAAGTTTGTATGGCAGCCATATTGAAAAAGGCGAAAAATAATTTCGACCGCAAATTATTATCAAATACCTATAGATCCCCACATATCGATTTTCAGTTGAATTAGAGCTAATTTTTATTAGTTGTTGAACGGCGGCCATATTAAAAAATGGCGTAAAACCATTTTTGATCACAAATTATTATCAAGCATACCTCTCTAGGTATGCTTGATAATAATTTATGATCAAAAATGGAAAAAAAAATGCTCTGATCCCTTTGAAAATTGGCATGTGTGGGTAGAGACCCGCACATGCCAATTTTCAAAGGGATCAGAGCATTTTTTTTCTGCCGCCAACGAACGCTTCCTTGGCGGCCATATTTGAAAATGGCGAAAAACCAATTTTGACAACAAATTATTATCTTACTTTTAGAGGTCTCCGCATGCCAATTTTCAGCCGAATCAGAGCAAGTCCGTTTCGGCAGCCACATCGAAGTTTTTCTTCGGTCGCCATTCTGAAATCGCCATCTTGATTTTTTTTAACCCAGGCAGTTGACCAGTGGTACCCTCTATGACATTCCTTCGAGCACCTCCTACCCATCTCTAATAGTTTCCGTGATAGGAGACTTTGAAATTTGTATGGCGGCCACCTTGTTTATTTGAATTTGGAACATTTTTTTACTTCCCGCGGAAATTGACCAGGATGTATCTCATAAAAATGCACAAAAATGTATTATATGTATTATAGTTTTTGCAGGCCGTTGATCACTCGTTTACTTTTTCCACATTCAGGTCTTCTCATATTTGATTCTTTGCCTTAGAGCCTATCCGCGTACAACGGTATAAATATCTTTTTCCACCATATCGGGAAGTATGCGTTCTATTTCTATCAGTGAGTAAGAACTTGTAGCTTTATATAAATAATATTAATCACCATGAATCTGTTGTTTCCTTTATTTAAATCTTTACTGCTTAGGTATTATACTTATAACCCATTTAGCCATTATTCAACACATGTTTACACTAAACATTAAAAAAGTAATATTTTTAACATCGTGGCTACAGAAGTTAGGGATCATAGTTAATTATTGTTTTTACTCGCCGTCTTTTATATATCGTCTTTAGAGTAATATAATTTACATTTATTTATAATAATAATAACATTTTAATTCAAATACCTAGTTCATATTTTATTTAGTTAATGACAATTGTCTTGTTAAATATGGTTATAGCAATAAAATTTAATGTATTTAACAATACTATCTGGCGATTAACTCTCTCCAATATGGTATTTAAAAAATTATTTACTTCTATTATGAGTAATCCGAATAAATGAATGAACAAATTATCTCTACCATCGCATCTTTGTCGGATTGCACATTATGGTGTAGTCATTTTAATTAGCTTTGAAATAATTCGAAATATGTTTTGAATATTATCGTCTTCTTTCATGTCAAACTAAAATTCTGCAAGTTCTACTGAAGTTGTACTGATACAATTATTTGTAATTCCATTACAACAAGAATCTTTCGGTTATTATCAAGGAAAAAGAAATTTATTCGTTTTCCACAGAAATAGCATATTTTGCGAAGTTAAACTATAATGTCTGGATATAATAACTTAATATCTAATATACAAAATAAGTTAAGAGTTTTTATGTCATCAGCCTTAAAAATTTAAAAACTATTATAGACAAAACATAAAATCTTTTTGCTGCTTTTTCTCTAAATGCTGTTTTTAACGAATTTCAAAAAGGAGCAGATTTTCAGTTCGATTATATTTTTGAAGAAATTATTCCATCACCAAGAGTAACAAATTAGAGGATGAATTTTATTATGGATTTTACCCAGCTTCTGTTAACCGATATCACTAAAACTTGGCAAATAGATGCCACAAACTTTTAAGTGCGGTTTTTTTATAAAAAAGTTATAGTACTTATTTTATTAACCCAATAATAATTTAAAAAAGTAATAATGATAGCTTTCGTCGTATTTCTATATAATATTAATTTACAATTCCACAGCAGCAACACAAAGTATATTTAAAATTCAAAGTTATTATGCCGATTCAAATTTTCTTTCGACAAACCCGACTTCTGCTATCGTAATCAAAATTATTAATTGAAGGATATTAAACAATAGCAAGGCGGTGTCCCTTGGGGATCGTTTAATTTAGATTATTTATTTCGTCGGCCCCCGAAGAGCTAATTTCCAAAATAAATATTGGCTCAATCAAGCCTGCGGTCTTAGACTTGGCTGGTTATATTAGTCGTTGTTACAGTGAGATTGTTACAAATTGAAAACCTAACATCGACATTCATTGTAAGAGACATATTTTATTTTATTTCTTGCTTTATCAAAGCGCAAACTACTTAATTTAAAATATGTTTCTATGATCGATATTTTGTATTCTTGGTTTTTTTTTATTAATTTATTTCTGGCCATGGAAACAAAGTCCTTCAGCCGAAAACATAAAAATAAGTTTTTCTGTAAATATGGCCGCCACAAAGAGGATAGGCAATTTGAGGCGGCGTGCTTGGATTGACTCGGGATTCCTTAGAACGGGCCGATACGGGTATTTTAGTTCGAGATTCGTATAATTTCGCGTTTTAATCTTCGATTAAGGCACAATAGCACTATCCTATTCCACTTTAAACTAGATTTCACAAAATAATTGAAAGTCAAAATAAAAACGACACTTTTCCCTCCAAAAGGCCCAGAGCGAATCTTGTATTCTTGGAAAGCTGTAGTGTTGCCGCTATTGTTCTTAATTTGAAATAAATCCACGAAAATCTTAAATACATAAAAACACTTAGGACGTCTATTTTTTTAGTGATCATCAGAAATCATTCAAGAATTCTCACTTTTGAGACTGAGATCAGGGTCTCAGCGTTAGAATATTTATCAAAGTCAAAGTCAAAGATTATTTATTCCATAGGTAAAATAAATTTACACTTGAAATCGTCACATTTAAGCTACTGCTCGTTCACTACGCTGACCTCCCTGAGAAGAACGAGCAAGAAACTCTAGGGATTGCTCTTTTCAAATAAACTTAAATGCTATGGAATAACACTTTGAATCAAATTTGTGTGGATTCTGGAGCCATGTCGTCTTTCCATACATCTTTATCTATCACGTAGTCTTAAATTTTGTAATATGATTTTTCGATCAAAATATTTTTAATGTAGTTTTTAAACTTAGGAAATGATAAACTTAATATATGCTCCGGGATCTTATTGTAAAAACGTATACAGATCCCCATAAAAGAGTTGTTTACCTTTGTTAAACGAAATCGTGGTACCATGAGTTTGGACTTAGCTCTAAGGTTAATATTATGGATATCTTCTTTCTTATTGAAATTATGTATATTTTTACGAGCGTATAAAATATTTGAGTAAATGTACTGTGATGCCACAGTCATCACATTCATAGAGTCCTTAATTCAAGTTATTGTACCGTTGTCCAAATATTACACCGAAAGGAAGAAACAAATACAGTCAACTGCCAGCCAGACAGGTGTATCTAATGTGCCTTAAGAAATGCATATGTAAAGAAAGCTCTAATGTCAGTGCTTTGGTCACCCGATGTCATCCATTTAATCTAGCGTTTGTCCCAATTGTATTGCAGTTTACCCCTTTGTTTCTTTCCTTAACCAAATATTATAAGCCAATCAAAATCTAAGTCATTGAATCGACAAGTATTCCTTAGTCGAAGGAGAGCTTTTGGAACAAGAGATGTTACTCTCGGCCGCATTGTTTTCAATAAATTAAGGAAGGACAAGAGGCCGGGCCGGGCCTCCGCAAACAGCCGTCGGGCTCCGTCAACACAATTATTATACTCGGACAGCTCCCCTCGATAAACACCCTCTAAATAAATTAACTGGACTTCCAAAACATTGAGACATGTAATGAAGAAAGAAAAATAAGAGATTCCCTTTTCGGTGTATTTTGTACCTGTGAGATAATAATGGGTTTCATATAAACTGCTATACAATTAATGACGTGTTTACATAGGGTCGACAGCCGCCTTCGGCCGACTACTTCGCTTTGGCGCAATCAACTCGCTGTTTACAGCTATTCGACTTGGTCGACTTTGACAGTGTTCTATAGTGCAAGCGAAGGCGATCGCGGTCGACGCAGTGTAAATGCGCCATTACGATTGTATTACTATAAACATAAACTAAAGTTAAAAACTAATTCCTAACGATTAATCATACTTAAATTAATCATTTACGTATTCTTCTTATTACTTGTTGCAGTTTGGACAATGAGTGCGCGGGCCGCAACAACCGTCACTCGGACGAAAAAACAAAATCATGCCAACATCCCCTGCCCAATAGAGAACTGCGCAAGATTCACGTACGGCAAACTTCCCGACCACTTAACGAAAATACACGGCTTGACCGGTGCAGAAAGGGATGCTTTGAACGAACAACAGAGGAAACGATTCTTCAACGGAGAATTGTGTCAAGTAAAATTTCTGAAAGAAACAGCGATCAAAGACCTCTGGGGCTCAGATTATGATGATCCTCGAATTCGAGCGAAGATACATCAAAGCTATGCTCTTGTCAAGATTCGTATCATACCCATAGCTGCAACACAACGAGCTAGACCACTCACAGAACAAGACGCAAATGTCCTAACTGCGTACAATGCTAGAACGGCACCAAGACCAGCAAGAGTTCAGAGACAAAAGCAAAGACCAAGACCTTATCCCGTACCTCAAACCCCAACAGAATGCAGAGTTTCAAGCGAGTCCAGCGAAGGAGAAGAAAATACTCGCAGTAATCCTCTGCCACCATCTCCACCACCGTCTTCACCTTCATTACCTCCATCGCCTGCTCCATATGATCTTCAACCAGTTGAAACTCGACTGCGAGACATATTCGATTCAAAAATCGACGCTGGTTACAAAGCTGTCATCGATGATATGAAGAAGTCAATGACTAATGGTCGGACACTTGGTCCAAGGAAACGAAAAGCTTACCGCACCTATCGACGGTATGCTAAAAGACTTATTGCGTACTTGCACAGACAGCATTCTCCTTTAGCTTATGACGTTGACGTTCTCCTATGTGGAGAAAGACAAGTCTGCGAGTTCCTAGAAAGAATTAGAAGTGAGCATAAGACAAAAACCCTGAGAAGCTATATCGTTGCTGCAATAAAACTGCTTGATTCTCGATTGTTTGCAATAGAAACTGATCCATCTTGCAAAGAGAAGGTTGCTTCGATGACCAGGGTGTATGAAGTGCTACATGGTCGGTTAACTGATTGCGATCGATTGTTGGCTCAAAAGGAATCCAGTCAGAATAAAACAATGACGTTTGGTAGTAACGTATTGGAACAAAGTTTTGATAGTGATGATGATTTAGTTTAAAAAAGTCCTTTGGAGCTCTGGCCTTGTACTCTCGTTCTTCGTCAACATCCGTCCGAAACAATTACTGTCAAATAAATAATACTCGAGTAAATTAAAAGACGAATTATGCGAATGAAGCTACATACTTGACATTTGTGTTTAAATTGTGTCGAATATTTCTTATTTGCCATTTATTAGCATGCTTCGGGCGGACTTCCGACTGAGAACGGAAGAAGAATGTAGTAACAATAAGCCACGACACAATGTAGGTGCGGGCAAAAATTGTTCTTGAAAAATTAACTTTTAAACGTCCAATCATGGTTAATTTTCATGACATCTTGTACAAATAGCGTTTTGTCGTATGAATTGAAATCAATAGAAACTGTACCTAATTAGTGTACTTTAGGTTTTGTTATAGAAATCCGATTGCTTATAGCCAAGTAAATATAATAATAATAAAATATGTGTAACACAAGCCATTCAATATTTACTTTAGGAATACTAGAAACTAAGATAATTTATTATAAAGAATGTAAATAATAAAACTCACACGTGTTCCAAGCAATAAGCTTCATTTAAAAATTTGCAAGAATTAATTAAGCCCTAGATAATGTATAATTCTCTGTGTAACAGATATTAGTTATTCGTCCATGTGCAATAAATGTGAAACCAATGGCAATTTATCTTAAGCTTACAATTACATTTTTTGTGTATTTTTAATTAGTAAATTGCAATGTATGCTAGTCGTTTCGATCGTCTTACATGTAAATAAAGCATTTCGTATTTAAATTTAATACATGTCATTTGTTCCAACGAATATTATTGCTGATAATAATTTCCCTTTTATTCTGCAATCAAATTTTATTAAACATTTACATTTTCTTAGTAAATGGAAAATATAAAAAAGATCATAAACGTTTGCTATAATAATATTGAATTCTTCTTCTTCTATCGCAAACACTCATTTTGTTTTTCACATAAAACTTTTGCATACTTTTAGCGACACCTGTCGCCAAGTAGAAATACTATATTCGTAAACATCTTAAAGCCAACAAACCAAAACGTTCCACTGTAACTCACTAGGTGGCGCTCACACGGAATTGCTGCCTTATGTTCAGAAAACTTCTGCAACTATATGTTACCCTAGTACTTGGCGATCGTAACTGCCTGCTCCAGATTCTCCACCGTCGGACGCCCACGTTCCAAACGTTCCAACCTAGCGCCCACTCTACTCGCCGCGTGCCACAATAAAAATTGGCGGTCAGTTCAAGAACTACGGTACTTCGTAGATGAGGAAAAGTGTGTTTGTAGTCGTGGCTTCTAATAATTCATCAATGAGGTTTATTTCATATTATTGACGTCAAGTTTTTCAAGGGAGTTATTTCATCGATAAGTTCTATTTGTTGTCTCTCTTTGTTAAGAATATTATTATTAATATTATATTGTAGGCCGTGCACGTAAATACACGTAGCAATTTTTCTGATAACAATCCAGCGCTTGGGGAAAGTTATAATTTATGAAATTATCAAGATAAAATCTCACTAGCTGTTGCTATTTTAATTAGAATACTTTTGAATCTAACCTGGAAAATTACCAGAGCACAAACAAACAATAAACTTTTGTTTGTTTTCTATATTCCTAAATAAGCAGTTGAGGAATATTCTAAATTGATTTTCGCTATAACGACGACACGTATTAATAGATGCCTTGTACAATTATTTAGAATGTAGTTCTGAATTTTGCAAATCCATTTATAAATCCACCACACAAAACAACCTAAATCCTCTTTTATTACTAGTATCGTTATCACGAACATTGTGCTGCTTGTTTTTAATTATTTAATCAAATTCTTTTTTCGTATCTCTTATCTTTAGTCATTCATACAAAATCTAGTTCTCTTTTAAAAACACAAAATGACTAATCAATATTGTATTGTAGGTAGGTAGTAAAGGGAAGGATGGAGTGACGAAAGACGTACTAACGTCGAACGACAGCAAGCAGTGTTATTTACAGAAATTTACTCACAGGGCTATTTCTGTCCCCTTCAGAACTACCTTGAACTGCTCATGATATAAATATTTTAGCTTAGCAAATCGACAGAATATTCTGGATGATAGTGTAATTGCAGAATACTACGTCACAGAGAATAAGTGGGCAGATATTAAACGTCAAACATGTATTGTGTAGAATATGCATGAATAATCCAAATTGTTTACATAGTTTCAAAAGAAATGCTTGTTTCTTTCATTTTAAATTGCTGTCAGTGGTAAATTATGATCTTTTAATGTCGATTTTTTTCATTTAAATTTAGAATAGATAAGCATAACGTTAATACGAGTACTTTACTTAGTTCTTGCCATTTCTTTTCCATGAGATGTGTAATAGAATCTTATTAGGTAATGCCCTCAAACATAACTTTCAAGGACTGACGATAAGTTTGAAATCAATTTTTCATTTAAAATTTGTTGTGTGTATCATGTTGGATTTATAAATAATTACTACAGCAAAGTGATAGCGTACACAACTCTATACTAAACAAACAAGTCAGATTGGCAACAAGCAATCATAACATAAACTTCAAAAACGCAGAAACGAACAATGCATCGGGTGACGTCATTCGCTCGGTGCAAAGTGCATGCATGCAGCCAGCTCCTTGTATTCATGCCACCTTGGTGTTCGTTCCTTTTGTGAGCGACACCAAAGGGGCCCTATCCCCTTCACGCACCCTTCTACGTACGGTTCAATGTTCGATTCTCGACCGATACGACCTTCGTCCGATGAAATTTCGTATGTCTGCGCAGTTATTAAATAAGTAGTATTTCTGACGATTTTTTGTTTACTTTAAAAAATCGTTTATTTCGTTCAAAATTTATAGTCATAGTACGTATAACTAACGTCCTTTATTCCTCAAGTCACACAGCGACTCAGTGATTTGACTATAAAAATTTTATTCCTTAATAACATCATTCTTATTTTTGTCCTTTCAACATCTGCAATTTTAATGCATTAGAATTTTAGTATCTTACCATTAATTACTATTTTGTTTATTTAATTAAACAGAATAATACTTCAAGTTGATTATGAAAATGCTGTCATTGCTTTCTATGATTGTAATTGTTTGTATTTTTGGCAGTCTCCAAAAACAAATCAAATGAGTCAATACGATTTACATATTTCTTTATCAAGTCGAAATTATTATTTCTGATTATAAGAATTTATAAACGCTTCATGTCCATGCCTCTATGCGATCGTCCAATAATCGAAAAATAAACAAAAAGGAGCCCCGTCTCGTTTCAACAGGAACTTGGTGGACAAGGATTACAGAATTCAAGAGAGGTTATAAAAGATGCACTTTTGAATGCACTCGAATCACCTCGGATATTAATAGCATTCGCACCATGCGTGTTCAAGATTACAGCTACAATTATTGTCGTTTGATTAGCTTGGGACTTATTTATATATTATAAAGCTATTGTAATTGACGTTCTTTAGTTATAATCCTTAGCGCACTAATAAAAGAAGTCAAGTCTACTTACTAAAGATGTGTTACTAGGGATTGTTTAAGATATTATCGTTTATCACAAATGGACTGCTGGCTAAACACTTTACAAAATTTACACACACGCTTATTTCAAATTCATGCGACCTTGTTCCGCTTTCAGAAACTGGTTCTTTTCTTATAAATAACTTCGCATTAAAATCTGATTGGAATGAAGAGTACTTTTGTGTAAGCTAAGCTTTAATGTATTACTAATTTAAAATATGCATTTCATTTTAATCAGTACTTACCAGAATTTAAAAAGAAATAACTTATCTTATCCTAACAATTTCAAACAACCTTTGATTAATATTCTGTTTGATGCCTATAAAATTACATACAAAATGTCGAATAATAAAATTAGGTTACAAAGTTGACTCTCATATGGTATTGAATCGTGTAAAGAATTTTATTTCAAATCGTTTCACTGTTTCCAGCTACTGAAAAAAGTCATCTGGCTTGTTTGTGCCTTAATAATTTTGTCCTTTCACGAACTTTATGATTCGTTGGTGCCTCATTATTTCCATACTGAAAACATCAGTAGCTACGTAAGGGGATATTTCGGTCGATCGTTCGCGCGTCTCTGCCCTGCGTCCGTCTTCACTGGTATTTATTCCAATAGCGCTTTCCCGCGTATAAAACACGATATTTGACCCACTGAAGCTTATTTTGTTCTCAACATTGGCGAGAGAGCCATCTAGTGATCGCCGCTCGAAGTTCCAGTGAACTAGTGTTTGTGTTATTTGTTACTCCGCAAAAACTAATTCTGCAAAATGCCCGGACGTCCTATTTGGCAGGTAAGAATTATTTTGTCTTAGTAGCGAAAATTGAGTGTAGCATATCCCGAATTAAATGACGCTGAAAGTTCTGAAAATATATTTCAAGCCAATTCATACTACAGGAATGTATTAAACGAGCGATACGGCACTAAATATCATTACAGTATTTTTTTTTTTTGCTAACGTGATTTGAAATAATGGTATTTTTTTAAAGCAATAACAAAAGCTAATATAGGAATTAAATTGTGTGGAACAATGAAAAAAGAAACGTGAAAAATCTCGATCGTAATTTTTGTTTGTAAATTAGCTTATATATTAAATAGCTGTGCTGAATGTTGTAACGCTAAAATATTTCTGATAATAGGATAAGGCTAAGTATTATTTTCATTTAAAATGTAGTAACTACTCATTCATCAAACATAAGCATAACATCTACGTGACGAGTACCTAAGTGCCATTAAACAATTTAAAAGAAATTAAAATATGTGCATGTTGCACATCAGTTTCAACGCTCAAAAACAAAGTGGATGAGTAATCTAGCCTCGACTTACCTACCTGAAAATAACGACGCGTAAACAATCAACGTCGTAAAATTTTACATTTTGGCACAGTTTCAAGAAGTAACCTGTGCATCTATCGATTAAGCAGGTAACTGTTACATGATTTTTGCTAACATTGCAAATTACTGTGATAATAATTCAATTATTTTGAGGTTCATGGCTGAATTTCATCAACCCGTTACTCGGACATTTTATAAAACTACAGAAACATGTAATGGATTGTTAAATTTTTACGTAGAATATAAGTGTAAATAAAATTGTGGACGACTCTGATGGGTAAATTAAGAAACAGTGTACTCAATACATTCAACTAACTTACCCGTAAATGAATTGTTTTTAAAACAAATAAAGAAAGAATCACTCTTTAATTGTAACCTTAAATACAAAATAATATTACATAAATGTAGCTAAGTAGGTAGAGTAAACAGATCAGTCAAAATAGAATAACAGAAAATACATAATTTCATAAGATTTACGTCAGTAAGGTTTCAAAAAAATTTTTAATTATTCTAAGCTACGCTTAACTAGTAAATTAAGATTTTAAAAATCATTTAACTGAATTAACATTTTAAATGAGCGGTAACTTGATCAAAATTTTGGTATCGTTTTAACAATCACCTGGCATAGAAATAATTTAACATGGAAATGACAAAATTTTACTTCTCACGCCAGCACATCAAGCTACACATTGACGTATCTTGTTAAGTTGCAATGGAGGCGATTTTAGAACAAAAATCTGTGTAGTCTGATGTGCCGTTGTCCGTACATTCACCATCAGTCGATAAAGCTCGGAATAAAAATAAAAATTATGAAACAAAAACCTTAAATTCAAATTTAAATTAATATGTTATACCTCTTGATCTCCTTCTGACATGAATTTCAGGAATTCAAGGTATTATTGCAAATACGGAGCTCATAAAAACCTTTCAACTCAAGTACGTAAAGGAACTCCACGTTCATTTCTTCGTGCACAATGCGAACATTTCAATGTGCTTGGAAAACTTAATCATTTTATCATCAATAATGAAGAAGAGCTAAGCTTTTTTATCGCTTCTTTTGCTAACAGAGTTGCTCTTTACATCTCCTATCAGATAATCGCCTGGTAAATTGTGGAACAGTCGCTGCATGAAACCCAATAAGATGTCTTCGATAGTTTTAGAGAGTATTGGCCGTAGAGATTCAGCTACTGGTCTCCAATTTTCGTTTAAATAAGCGTTCGTGCTATCCTCTGTAAAATAAATTATTATTAATAAAAGAGTTGATAGAACAGTTTAGTAAAAAGCATTCGTAAAAAAAGCTCAAAAAGTTTTAAAAAAAACAAGAAAATTGAATGAAATTGTCTTAAAAGTAGAAAATTTAAAACGTACATAATTTAAACAAGCAAGATATAAAGAGAAATAATTTAACAAACAGTCAAGATAGTCATCAATGATACTTTTTTTATTATCTGACGCAAATAACGTCACATCAAAGCGGGAGGTGAAAAAAAAACGTTCATGAATAAAATTGGCAACAATGACAACAGCGCTCGACGTCTCAACAGCGTCAACGTTGCAATTTGCAACACGTTAGTACCAAGACATCATAAACACAAAGAACTCAGATGAAGCTGTGCGACGCCACCTATACCACTTTCATTCATTACACTAATAACTTGGTGTTTATTATAGTATCATAGTATCTCTACTCGCCAACAGATGGCAGTGCGTAACTTCAAGGCGTTTCAATAGATGGCGCTAGTTAATTGTAAACTTACCCAGTGATTTGATTCCATCAAACAAATTGTTCATACGTAATTTCAAGCCACCGATGGAATATTTAACATGTGCTGCGGTTACGTTGAAAAATGTAAATCCGTCTTTTTCGTACAGTTTAACATCGCTCACGATGTCGATTGTCATGTTAGCTGTAAGAACACCATGAACCATTACAATTTCCTTGGCTTCTTATTCAAGTAAATTGAGCTCAACGTATACAAAACTACGTTACACTAATTTCAAAATATCAAATCGTTAATTTCCCTCCCAATATAATACCCGATTGAAGTAACTCTGCACAGAATGTGTAATATCCTTGAGTCGAGTTAAAATATTCCAGAGTTTAACATTTTAAGTATTCAAGATTTCAGTAATAAATTTTATTATGAGCATTAATTTATAAGATCAACGTACTTGGCTCAAACCAGCACACTCCACGACCGACCAAGGGAATAAGTAAAATTTTGCCTCTTAAATCATAAGTTCCCTCTATCCTCATTTTTGGCACTCTTACTTTTGTGTAGAAGTCGTACGTTTTGCCGTCAACTCTGAAAATAATGAAATATATAAGGACGAATATATCCCAAATGTAAGAATTATTCGGACTAATCTCTAGAATTGAAATGGTAAAGGATTTGGTATCTTTACATTAGTTGCATTGCGTAGACTTTCCTTTATGAGACTACTTCATAATTTTGTGGCTAATTCTATTCCGGAGCAAAAAATAGTCGTTTTTTTTTAAATGGAATTAAGCAGAGAACCAATCAAATAGAGACAAAACAGTAAACAGTGAGTAAGCAATTCGTTACGTAACTGTGTCAGTTAGTTTGTTTTGGTCCTCTGTCGGTCAAACAGTCAGGCAAGTTACCAGGTTGTCAGAAACACAAAGCGTACTTACTTGCTAAGCAGAACTTCAGTGTGACCGAAGCCGGTTACTATGACGTCATCGAGAGCAGCGTTCACGTTGACTGGACCTTCGCCTTGGAGAATTCTTATTTTGGGAATCTTTAATGGGTCTAGTGGTGGCAATGCGATCTCTGGGAGCCCTGGAAGTTAAATAACATTGAGAATTTTTATTTCAAAATACTGGCCGCGAAATAAAATTCAGTACAAATGAACACAGTATTTTTGTAACCAGATCTGTGAATCATACATGATACCAAACAGGTCGATGTATGTGCATGGTGAAGAAATAGCGCTTTCGCTTTCCGCAAGTTATGTACACGTTTCGTAATTGAGGCTATGAGACTAGCCTAGCAACTTGTGAATCTACTATCATGCCTATCTATATAATAGGTGATTCTAATAATTTAATACCACTGAGATTCAAAATTTGAAAATCGATCTGTCCAAATAGTCCACCATTTTCACGTAACATTCTGTTTTCAAAAGAATGATTAAAAAGATTCGAAAAATGTGAGAATGAGGGAATGTTTGAATAGGAGTGCAGCGCAGCTAAAGAGTAGTTTCCACGCGTTGCATAGTTGTTGTGCAACGAAGTCGGCCCAACAACCGTGCCGGCTACTTACGCAGCTGACTGGTTGTTAACCACATATTTGTATGCATAAGTATGTAAGTTTTGCATAGAATCCACGCCGCATGATGCTAGTAGATATAATAACGTTTAGAAAAGAGTCGTTTAAAGATTAATTTGTTTAACATGCTCAATTTAATGTTTTTCTTTTCAAGTACAATACTCGAAAGTGTTATTTATACATGTTCGGTCAATCCATCCTGACCTACTGTAGTATAACGAAATGCCAACATGTTAGATATCAAGAACACCTGTAGTCTAAGCAAATGTTCGCAAAACTTACAATTTCGTACACCGCTTAAATACTAATTAATCCCAAAAGCCAAACCGTTCACGTTACTAAAAGATCCTGTTGACCATGGTCCAATAACTTGACATGTCCATATAAAGTAAAACTAATTTTAACTAGAATTGCGTAAACATCAAACCTAAGTTCAGCTGGGTAATTGACTAGTCTTAATAACACTTTTGGAAAATAACATGTCTTGGTTTTTGTAATTCTAAATTATTCAAACCCAACTATCAGTCACAGAATGATTACAATTAATATTGTGCTACTCGTATACTCGAATTAATTTCCTAGTGTTAGATTTGCTATTTCTAAGTGTGCCTTGTTTATTTTAAGTATCATAGTCCATTTGTTTAGGTACTTAACTAAATGTAAACAATCTTGAGATGTCTGTTTAATGAAACATACATGTATAAAATGATTTTTACTTACCTTGAAATACAAAATATAGATACTTAGTTACATATGAAATTGCATGCCCATTTTTATACCTATCGATTTGTAAAGTATATGTATCAATAAAAGATTGTTTACATTTAGTTAAGTACCTAAACAAATGGAGTATAAGTTACCTGGTCCTAGGGCGTTGAAAAGTTTCTGAACAGCATCTCTTGAGCACTCATCGAAATCAGGGTCGCTTTTCAGGCATGTTTTCACGAAACTTGCTGGAATAATAAACGAGAATCAAATAGTAAAAGTTAGTTCGACTACAATGCAATTGAATTCGCGTACGAGCGTGCATTAATTTTGCAAAAGAGTCTCATAAGTTGACACAATGCCTTACAGTATTCAAAAGTAAAAATGTATCACGAAGAAAAAATGCGCACTTCTCAACTGTTCACTCTTTTTAAACAATGAGACATTAAATTTTTTTACACCTACTGAACTAGTTCACAATTCGTAATGTTCTTAAAGTTACGAAAAATACAAGTGCTGTTGACTCATACAAGCTAAATGTTGCCTAAACCAATCAGGTTTCTGTTATTTCACTTACAGAATGTATGCGTGTAGGATTATCATCTATTTATACAAAACAACTGTCAAACACTAAATTTAAAAAATGTACCGATTCCTTGACAATAGCTGCTAATTTATAACGAGTAAAGATTCAGAAGTCATAATAATTATATAATTTGTAACGAGTTTAAATATCACAAATTATAAAGATCAGTATTCTTTAACTGTTTTTATAAAGTTCAATTTTGTTACTTTCACCATTCTTAATTACACAAAAATACAAAGTTGCATTTAAATTTTAAATAAAATTTGGGTCACGTCTCTTTAGATTCGAGACAGTCCCACGAATTATGCGGGACTTTAAGCGTTTCAGTCCGGAAATAAACTCCTTTCAGACTCGTCACTAATAATATTTTTTAAACAACACATATATTGCTCTAACCGGTCATTGAACTCTAAAACGCTAATAGACCGTATAAACGACTATAATGGTATTTACAGCGACTTTATATAACCAAGTAATTGTGAAATGGAAGAATCGGCTAGCGCGTTTCATTGACCAGACTTGTTTATCAGCAATATTCAGTTTTGGGTCAAATAACGAGAGCACCAATGTTACATGTCCAAAAATACTTACGCTTCGTCTTATAATACTCGGCGGTGGAGAAGTGTAGCACACACATCACTATAAATAATTTGAACTGCATGTTTTGATGTTGATAGTTTCCGCTCGAGGTTGGCCCGTGCGCCCCGAGCGCGCAAGACTTGCCGCTTTGATACTGAGACCCTCTTGCCGGTCTCCAAGCCGAAGCCTCTAGGAGGGGAGCCACGCAATTGCCAATAATGTAAATAAACTTTAACTTGGATTGCTCAAGTAACAAACAACTTACCTATTGCTGGGGACATCGCATGACATAGGGATGGGCTATCCCTAAGTATGCTAATCAAGGTTAAATGATCTAAGTTCTATTTTACCAATATTGTAACTAACGCCCAAGTCACTCTAAGCAGTACAAACTTAGTCGTTAATCTGTCGATGTCGGTGGTATTTGCCTATGGGTTGACTTAATAGAGATTTAGTAAATAGTTACTTTGTCCACATGTTAAGTAACTCATTTGGAGCAATCCTGAACTTTTGATCTTGAGATTTCGGCAGCTCACTTGTGAAAATGTTAATTGTGTAAGCAACATAATATAGAAAAACAATGAGTATGAAATGCACGGATTATTTCTATTATATTTTAAACAATTCGTACCCGAAATTTTTTTGTCTTGACTAGACGTTTTTAATGACAAGCTCATGCCATGGTATGATGATTGTCGACAGTCCAGTTTTAAATAAGTTTTAAACAAAACCAATTAAAATTCCTGAGCAAGACATTTGGCTCGACGAGAAGACGAACAATAGACCAAAGCAGGCACGGAATGATGGCCAAGAGGATCGAAAAAGCTAGTCGGTAGTGAATGTGAATATGTCTGGATATGAATGACGCAGGACCGTCTGGCGCGATAAATAGGAGGGCTGTACCTCGTGTGTTGATGTAGGCTGAATGAATATGATTATGAAAAGTCCTAACATTGAAAATGAAAGTAAACTAATTTTGTAAGATACCAGTTATTCAAGAAAATGGACAAATGAATAACACATATACTTACATTAATTAAAACCGATTATCCACCAAATGTGCTAAGAAGAGCTGTTTGCTATAGGAAATGAAACTATTTTTCTTGATTTAAATCGCGTATATTTGTCAACCGTGACCATGAGACCTGTCAAGGACCCGAAACGTCTGTTTATTTGAAAAAATAAATATTCGCGATTTAAATCCGGAAAAATAGGTTCATTTCCTATGTGTAACAATCGCGAAACCCTAAGAACTCGAGCTGTTTGATGCTGAAATGCCACGTAGAGGTCCCGTTCGAATTCGGCCGGATCGAAGGAATTTTTTTGGATTTTCGTGTGTTCGATCTTTATATTCATAATTATTTCATAATTAAATTATCTCCAACTTTTGCGAACCTGTTACGGGGTCACAGACTGTCCTACATGCCAGTTCCCAATAGACTAGTTAGACAAGACTTGTAATCAAGACCAAATACATGAAATAACTGTTACAGTCGTTCCATTACATTTGGTGCTTCTTCTTTCCAAATTGTACCTACATATGTGGTAATGGAATTTGTGGTAAGTTTAATGTCACTTGTTTTGTAGTTATGATGCATCAAGTATGTAACCAGAAATAGAGACGAAATGTCATTTAATTTGTTTGAAAACTATTCAACCAAATCATTACTGTGACAAGTGCGCTCCGATTGGCCAGCCCGAATTCGAAACATTTGACGAGTGTCGTCAATTGTTTCACTTCAAATCGACCAGTTTAACTTTAGCTTTGCTATAATGGACGAAATTTGCAAAATTACATATTTAATATTTAATTACCGACGAAATGTGAGTCCGTTTGTTTAGTAATTAGTTGTTTTGCTGTTTTTTCCATACCACCGAATGGAACAGTCCCCATTGTTAGAGATATTATTATCTTTATTACAATAAATACAGAATATTTCTAGAATATACGGTTAAACACACTAACGCAAAGGTTATTTGTTGACGCTGTATTATTTCAGTTTTCTGATTTGTGATTTCAACGCAAACAGTTGATATTTAAAACTGATATAAGGCCCATTTACCTGAGATGCCAGGGATGGATGGCGCTTAATTCGTCTCTATTTTTGGTTTTATGCTCGATGTTTTGATGTGATGACATCTATGATAGTTATTTGGAGCGAAAGTTATGAAAGAGATTGTTGACCGTAACGAAAGCGACCGATCAACGTGGCCGTCATCAGTAATGCCCCGATATAGCCCCAACAGATTTCCATGCAACGTCGCGTATCGTAACTACCTTAGTAACAAAGTCAAGGTACTACACGCCCTGTCTAAAATTGCATTTATTTGTGCTTGTTCCCATGTAAACTCAGTCCATATTCTAACTGATCCTAGTGTAACAAGTGATACCTGATAGTACTTGTCGATACGATTATTAATAACGATATAAAGACATAAAGATACAAAGACTATTAGCAGTAGAGCTCTTTGTCAAACAGTTCGTCCAGGAGTGTCACCTTACCTATTTCTGCCACCAAGCAGTAATGTCAGCATTACTGTATTCGGGTTTTGAAGGACAAGGGTGCTGATGAAATTACAGGCGTATGGGACTTGTCAACTTATGTCTCAGGGTGACGGGGGCAGTGGTAGTACCCCTCAGATCTTTGCAATTATAGCTCTGAGTGGCACTGTAACTGTTATGGACAGGTGTGTAGCTTACCATCAGGCGCACGACTTGTTCGTCCCGTCACTGGATGTTATAAAAAAACTACAAGACATGTAAAAGATAAAAATGTAGGAAACTTTTTGGTTCGTACATTGTTAGTTTTTGTACTTATGTTTACCACCAGCTTAAGCAAGTTTGAGTACTTTTAACCGACTTGAAAAAAGGAGAAGATTCTCAATTGGACTGTTGCTGCTTGTTGTTGCTGCTGTTTTTGTATATGTTACGCCTTTACTCTGACAGTTGTGAACCGATTTCGATTATTCTTTTTTTGTTATTATCTCTGTAGTAATACCATTCAAATTTGAAGAAAATATTCTACCTCTAAGGGTAGCCAATTATGGGATGAATCCAGTGTATTGGATTTTACCCACTTTCCGTTAACCGATTTCAATCAATTAAACTTGGCAAATAGATGTAATTGCACAAATTTTTGAGGTCGGTTTTTTATAATAAAACCATTATTACCTTTAATTGTCGATGAATTTCGGCTTTTACGGCCTTTCTTCCCCAAAGCATCATTGTAATCTCGATACCCCCAATGAACACTACGCCAACTTAATTTTTGGACCTGTTTTGTTTTATTTTGTTTTTGTTCCTTTTTTTCACAAAATTCGTGTAGCATAATATTAATAAATAAATATGACTGTTCACAAAAATAACAAAAAATAAAAATAAAGTTGTAGTGTTCATCGGAGGTATCGATTCAGTCTTATCGTGAAAATCTAGCGTTGCTACAGAATTGATGCAGTAAGCGTAGTTCTATACCAGTTTTTTAAAAAGACCATGTACATATACATTTACTTTCTTGCAAAATATCCGAAACGTATAACGCCTAAAACAATATTGACAGTGTGATGGATGACTGACTGTTTTCGAATAAATTACGAGCTTAAGATCACAGAACGGCATTGACCCATCGACCGGTACACCACGCGACATTATTGCATAACATCGGTTTGGACATTCGTGCAAAAGTTTTGCAAAATGTTATGTATAATTTTACTCGCGCTGTGTACAAATATTTTATTTAAGTAGGGCATGCAGCTATTTTTTTGTAGTCTTTCCTTTTGTAAGACTGTACCAGCGCGGTACTCAAGCTATATCACCGTATGCGCCGCATACGCTCTTATTCTATATATAGCGATGATAGGTGGTTCGTTCGTTGTGACGCTTTTAAGAAGAGAAGTGGACTGTATAGAAAGGAACAGGGACAGGGACGAATCGGCAGGTAAAGGAATGCTGAACAACTGAACTATACTATACTGACCCTAGAGGTGGACTTCGTGCTCGTATGTTGTCCTTGTCAGCGCTCTTCCTCATCTTTCATTAGACGTCCTATTTAATTAACTTTTGTCCAAATTCCTTTTATATACATAATAGGCGCCTTGTCCTCGAGTTGCAATACCAGCCCGTTGCACCAGGAACCAAGTATATACATACAGTGACCTACAACACACAATATCAAGAAACTTCTATTCATTCGTATCTGTACATTGAATATATAGGTACTCGTGTGTACATATATACCTACTTATGTGCATATATCTATGTAGGTATATGCAATTTCTAATTACGACTAAATGAACTTGTAACACGGCGTCTTAAGATATAATTAGGTAATATGTAATGAGATGTCGTATATAAATCAAGCCAAGGTCCAGCAGTATGTCATAGCAGGGTACACTCGCCAGATACCCTCGTCTTGGCCGGCAGTCAAGATAAACAGTTTTCATAGTGGGATAACTGGTAGTTAGGGCTGCCACATCATTGTTCCGAATATTAGTACTTTGCGTAATATGTAATGTGAGCTTTTCATCATACGCTTGTTATGTCATATTTTTGTCAGCTATTCTTCTAAAGCTCAATTTAAATTGTTACGGAACGTACATTATTGTAACGAAGTTATAAATAGCATAATGAACCTGAACTCAAGAGGGTCACATACAAACTAGACACATTACTGTAGTTATGGTATTCCCGATACAATGCGAGAATTCTCCCGAAGACGCGGGATCAGTTTTTTAGCTCGTGTTTAGTTTGTACGTTACACATTTGTCATAAGGTTCATTATGCTATCGTTACAAAAATGCACTTCCAGTCACTTACGCGGCATTACATAGAGCCTTACAATGATGATGTTTTAAGGAATCGAACGAAAAATCTCATTGTAACCTATTATTCTTCTTAAAGCAAATTTTACATACCAAAATCAAAGGAAATCGATAAGATAAAAGTATTCTCTCGATGTGTGGAATTTGTTTGTTGGTATTCTAATTAGAAAAAGAAGTTGTCTCAATATAATCTCTGTGAAAGTAATAGCAACCCTAACCCACCTACTCAATTATGATAGTATACATCATTCTGAACCATGAGCTAAGACTACAGCTGGAACTGACGTAACTCTATACCTACACACATACATCTATTTTCTATAATTAATACCCTTTTCACGGACGTTCCAGAATTCACGATCTGGAGAATTTGAACTTTAAATTCAATAGATCAGACCAGAATAGTAAATGCAGTAAATAAAGCCAATGTGTAATGAGTAAATAACTTAATTCTTTTGACCAGAAAAGTGTACATATATATATATATATAAGTTTTAGTAGCAGTAGCTGCCTCCGTGGCTGAATGTTTACCATGATGGTCTGCCAGGCCGAGGTCTCGGGTTTGATTCCCGCGCGGGGAGAAATATTTGTACAGCTTACATTTATTTCTCTCGTGAGTTGGGTGTATTTTGTGGTTGTCTATGTGTGTGTCCATGGCACCCGCTATACAGAGTTTCCCTAGGAAAACTCCTAAACTAACGCACACACTCCTAGCCCCGCACTAGTGCGGGGTGTGTGCGTCCCTTATTACTGTTATTATATTATTATTTCTGCCACCAAGCAGTAATGCGAATTATAACTGCGTTCCGATTTGGAAGTGTAAGGGTGCTGGAGATTGTTTTTTTAAATCATAGCTCCGCACTAAGGAAACGCGGGTGCCATGGGCACATATATGTCTACATTACACCACAAATTACCCCCAAACTGTCGAGATAAATAACTGTAGGCCATACAAATATTTCTACCGGCTGGAACTAGGAACTTCTGCGTGGCAGTCATAAATTAGTAATTACAGGCACATGGGACTATTATAAAAAAAACTTCTCTAGTTTTGTCTGAGTTACACTGCATAGTGTAAAATTATCTATGTAAGTGCCGATTGTGTATGTAAATAAATAGATAAACCGTCCAAACACATATTTCTTTTTAGTTCTTTTTTTTATATATATGTGTCTTTTGAATAATTTAAAACGTTTGAGATGCCTAACCTCTACATCGTAGAGCTAGGCTGAGATTTATTTTCATTGTAAGCAAAAATAGAATTTGAGATCATAATCTCTATACATTGTTTTCAAAAGACACTATTGTTATTTTTATACTATTTTATTTTGTAAAACAATGGTAAAATTGCCCTAATCCTTCGAAGTTGCAAGGAACGTGTTGATTTCTGACAACTTTATTACCTACAAATAGGTTATGTTCAAACGTAGGTAGTACCTACCAAAAAAAATGTTTAGTCCTTCAGGACAGGCTAAGGCATCTAATTAGTATTAATATATTGCCAGTGAAATTGTAATTTTTCTTAAATACTTTATTTAGGAATAAGCGCGATGAAATTCGTGTCTAATAAATTTCGAAAAAATAAAGAAAAAAAAACTCCCTTATATTCAAAGGTTACGATTTGAATGTTTCCTTTTGTCAAATGTTTAAAATCGAGCCCAGTTTTGGTGATTTTTTTGGAAATATTGCTGACAAAATAAATGTGCGTGTAACTGCCATATTTATTACCAGGTCAAAATCAGTTATTGAAAGTTCGTATAGACATCGATATTGGACAAAAGCAATATTACTTCAAAAAGACGAAGTGATATGTCCACAACCACTGACATACTTTCTCTATAAATATTAATCAACTTCGGCTATTTTCAATTTGACGATATCGCACTGCTATCACAATAGTTTTAACTCATAATATGCGAAAGTCAAGATTGTGTTATTGCTGAACGTGCAATTAGAATCTCTGCAATTGAATACAACCGTCGTTTGAATATTGTGAGACACAATTAAAAGATATTGACTTAACTCGAAAAGAGACTTTTTGTGAGCTCGTTCTTGATTCAAAAATATGAAATTATTTCTTCCTTTTTATTTTTAAATATATGGCAAGTAGGAAATTGTTTAAATATCAGTAATAAACTCTAACATAATATATACATAAATTTTAATAATGTTTCACTGGGAGTGAATAATTTATAGCAATAATTTGTTTTTTTTTAAATCGTTTTCCATCGCTTCTGTAAAAATACACTTTTTGCGTTAATACACCATTATATTAACAGTGCGATACATTGTTAGTTTAATTTAGTTTATAACGGTTGAATCTGAACTTGAGTTGAGTTTGAACGGTAGAAACGGTTGACCACGAACTAACAGGAAAATCTGTTGAGAGAATAAAAATAAATTTTGGGCAATCTCACAAAATATATCAGACGGCATTTAAGACTTATGACAAATAACTGTAACATTTTGACGACGCATACGTAACTATGTAAAATTTAGCTCTATCTGCCCCGTCGCGACTATCAGGCGTAGCCATCTACGCATAATAGTCGCGACGCGCGCTATAAAATTGAAATAAGCGCGCGCTATTGGCTATCTAAATTAGATCAGCAGGCTTAGCATGCCTGAAGACAAAACAGAACAACAAAACAGACAATTTCTTAATTCTTCCTTACCTTTCGTACCCAATTTCTTTTATTAGGTCTAGTAGCATTACTACTATTTTATTTAGTAGCAATAGAGCTCCTTGTGAAAGAGTTCTTCCAGGGAAGTACTGCCACCTACCTATTTCTGCCGCCAAGCAATAATTATTAGCATAATTAGCATTACTGAGTTCCGGTTTTGAAGGTATGGATACTGGTTAAATTACAGGCACATGGGAATTGTCAACTTCAAGACTACGAGCTCAAAAACACAGTCTAGGACTATCATTTTAATGAGGGTCACAGGGATTAGTTGTAATCCAATCACTGATCAGACCAAGACCGTGTTTACTCATCTCCATTGTATACATTTATATAGTGAATACCCGAATGTCGATACATTTTATAAAATAATGTAAGCTACGTCTTTTCAAAAATGACACCAACGTCTTACAAAAAATAATTTATTAGATAATGTTAAATTTATTTACATATTCCACTTATCATGAAATTCTTAACAAAAAATAATGTTAGCATTATAAATCTAGTTACAAACAAAAGTTGTAGTAAATCTTCCATGTGCTGTTGTTAAGGCATCTTAGAAGGTAACAGCGACTTTACTTGCCTAGTAGTAAGTAAATACAAGTAAATAGATACCACTCAAACTGGAGAGATATATGAAAGAAACATAGATTTATTTTGAATACTGCTTATACCGAGTTTTTTTTTGGTCTCAAATACCAAATAATATTAGAAGAATGTGCGTGTATCCGAAAGTTTTTACATATGGCGGGTGTTTCCAAAACCGCCATGTCCGGATTGCGAAGCGCCCTTGTTGAAGCCCATCTGAAGATTAAGTTCGGCGTTGTGAGCCCTCAATTGCTCTTCTGTGAAGGTACGTTCGTTCTTATCAGCCATCTTTGGACCTAGCATGGGACCAGTGAACTCCGGGTGCTTCTGAGTCTGAAAGAAAGAATCAAGTATAAAAAATTATTTGACTTTCGTTGGTTAATCAGTTGTTTCTGACTCGATTTTTATTGAAATAAGATTAGATCAACTGTTTAAATCCGAAGTTGCATATAATTGCAATTTCAAATTATTTACTGCATTATAATTGATTCTAATGAGAAGATTCAAAGGCAGCACTTACAATTCTGCCAAGAGCGTATAAGCAGAGAGTGACTTGAGGAATGTTGCGCCTTTCAAACAAATCAGCAGTTTGAAAGATTTCTTCTTCTGGCACACCATATTTCTTGATTGCTGCTTGGAATCTGAAAAATTAAAAATTAGACGTTTTTCATTAATGAAAATAGTCTGGTTCTTTCTGTAGTTATCCGCTAGTAACTGTTAATGTCCCTGTAAATACCTTTTGTGCCATCTATTTTACAAAAAAAACGTAAGATATGGCGAGCAGTTAGAACTTCGATATCATCACCGTATACTATATATGTACCTACCTCTGGATATTCTCCATAAGTTGGAAGTTGGTTCCCTTCTCCTGAATCTTCTTAACGGAACCAGGAGCAAGTTTGTTGGCCAACTTGCAAAGGATGACCCCGTCCCTAAGGATGTCCTCATATTGGCCATTGGGAAGCGGCTCGCCAAGGACCGCAGAGATCCAGGTCAGGACTTCTTGTTCCTGTTCCTTATTCCTGGCCTAGAAATTAAAAGTAAGGTAGGTACTAATTAAATATCTAATGGTGATGTTTTATTTATTTATGTTTTATCCTCTACCAAGAAGCTCAGGTTAAGGAGATCGAAAGGCGTATCGGTTTTAAGTGAGCTGCTTTTGGTAAGCTAGAAGACCTCTTTAAGTCGAAACTCCCACAGTACCTGAAGACCAAGTTCTATAATCAATGTGTCTTTCCGATCCTCACCTACGGTGCGGAAACATGGACGCCCACTGAGCAAAATATACACAAAATTAAGGTGGCACAAAGAGCAATGGAGCGTTCTATACTGGGCATTTCTCTCGTGGATCGTGTAAGAAACGTCGAAATTCGATGTAAAATAAAGGCCGATAACGTGGTTAATCGCCCCACGAGGTAAAGGTGGAGGTGGGCGGGAACTTTGGCTAGACGAGAAGATGGACGATGGACCAAAGCAGTCACAGAATGGTGGCCAAGAGGAGCAAAAATGCCAGTGAGCAGAACAGCCCGATGGTCTGATCATATAGTCAGATTTGCGGGATCGCGCTGGATGCGAATGGCGCAGGATCGAAAATATTGGCGCAATAAAAAGAGGTCAATGCCCAACAGTGAGTTGATGTTGGCTGGCCATAATAATGATGATGATGTTTTATTATGATAAATAATAACTGATAAATAGAAATAGATAAAGAAATGATAAATAAAAAATATGAAAAATAATAACAATTATATACTTTTATTATGTGATGCTTAAAATTATTTTTTTTTAAAGTTCTTTGATACGTTCTCAAGTAAACTGACATTTACCGAGTTCTTAATCTGATGTTACTAACCACAGTTATGCTTCAAAAGACGGAAAAACGGTTGTCAATAAACGCCGCGAGTCTTGAACATGGGCCATAAAACAGGCGTTCCAGTGCCAAGTCGTTAGCTCCAGCATCATCTCCCGAAATAACACAACGCAAACAAGTATCTAAGGAGTCTGGAAAGCTTCGGTCGTGTGCAATCATTGATGACGAGCAGCTGTTTGAACGTGCTCTTTCAGCAATCGCGATTCTCATTTGGGTAACGTTCGAGATTTCTAGAGAACGATTGAGGATTACATTCCGGCTTAAAATATAAATACAAACTTTGTGGAATGCCGGTATTATGGAGCTTGTTAAAAGAATTTGGGATTCGGAATGTTTACTTTCTGCGAGAATGATACCTACTATCAATTGTAAACGAAGTGCATAATAACCCATTTAAAAGCTAATGTTGTATAATAATAGATTGCTTTTAGCTCAATAATAGAACGTAGCGTATAAAAATTAAACCAAAATTTTAAAAGACAATCTAATGAAAGTTTTTATTATCAAAAGTTTGATGTGGACATTATTCTACCTCGTAATTCGTAAATAATGTAAAATTATCTTATAAGTATGAAAATGTTGATTATGGAAGTCAATTTAAAGTTTAATAGCCGTTTCAAACTAATCTGTGGGAGTGATCGAAGTGTAAACTGTCAACATGGAGGTGACGATTTGAGCAGCTGTGGGATTTAACGTCGCGGATTGACGTCACTCAGCATTAGCTATAAATTAATAGTAATATTAAGATTACGTTGTGATATATTGAGATACAAATGTTTCTGTACGGAAAGTTCTAAAAATTTGTATGTTATATACGTTTAAGAACCCATTAATGTCAAGAAAGCGTTCAATTTTAACAGTTATTGTTACATTGTTTCAATGTTCGCGTTAATTTGCTAAAGTAGATCTGTGAAATTATTATATGTATATAGGTTGGTAGTTTATATACTCAAAATTAATATGTTTTCATAGATAACAATATTATCACGAATATTGCAAGCAGAATATGAAATAAATCAAGTACAGTATTAAAATAGGAAGATTAAAGAATTTTGCAACGCTATAAAGAAGAAATAATTGTTCGCGGTCGTAATATCTGAAATCGTATAACGGAAAGTTCAATTGTTTATTCTAACAGTGTAGATTACAATAACAAAACGAAGAAACAAACTACGAAAACAGAAAAAGTTATGTGAAATTGTAAAACGTGTTAAAAAAAATTACGTACAGGCATTTTTATGTTTTTGTCACGAAACTTTAAAAAATCACAAGTGAATGGAACGAGCTTCCTCAGTGGTATCACAGAACTGACTGTGATCCGCCCGCCCAACGTTTCCTCCCGCCCAGCTTTCGAAAGTACAGCGTCCATCGGCGTCAGCGTGGGCGGCCGCCCAGTAGTTTTTATACAATGATGCATGTATTATGTAGGTATAATAATGTTTATTTAAGAAAGCTTTTCCATAATGTACCTAATGTAGGCATTTGTTTTGAATATTATGCCTATGCTATGGAAATAAACTTCTTTTAAAATCGAAAAGACGTCTGTGTGTTTTGTTTCGTGTGATATAAAGAGTGACACATATAAGGTAGCAGATAGATAAACAAAACATAAAGAAGAGATTAACATTTCTTTCATTTAGCGTTTCGGTAACGTACATTACGACTTGGAATTTCGTTCGAATTTTCAAAACATCACTAATCACAAACATAAAATTGTAAACAGGGTGTATACTTTCATCTTCATTAATTTAAAGCTGAAATGAAAAATACAATTTATGTGTCATTTAAAATTACTTGTTTTTATAGTTTTTAGTGTAAAAGCTTTCATAACAAAACCTTGACGCGAACTACAAAATGAATGAGAGATAGAACTAAAACGGTGAAGATTTATTCATGTGTTACATTTTGTTACGGAGGGAATTAGTTTATTTTATAAAGGTGGTGATTTTGCTCTTTCTCCGGCGTTATCGTACTTGTCTAGTTCATAAATAACAAAAAAAAAAAGAAAATACCCCAGACAATCCAGTAATTATCCGTATTCGTCGACAGTACAAGTTTCACTTAGCAATTACAATGTAGAGCAACGTGAAAATTTTATTGCTATTACACGAGTACTAGGCGTTTTATAAACTTTTTTAATGAGCTTTATAGAATTTTCCACAAATGTTTAGTCAATACTTACGAAAAGAAAATGCACTAGTTAGGTTAGTAACGTTTCGTAATAACATACACTCCCATAATTAAGAAACGACGTCCTCTATTAATATTAGGTTATACCTACAGCCAACAGACAATAATTACTTTGTCGAATTCTAACAAAACTTGTAACGCAATTTTAGATTTCATTAGTTTCTCGGGTGTGTTAAAAAAAGAAAAAATGTGTAACGCTACATCACTTAATTGTAAAAACTCGTCTACTTATTCATCTAATTGTATCTCAGAGATCGCATTAATCAATCTTACAATCAATCTGCGTGAGCAAAGAATAGTGATTTGTTACGCAAGGCTCCAAGGTTGTTGTTTGACGCTAGTGCTTGCATTAAAACCTGAGCAAGCGAAGGAGTCTAAGATTAAACCACGAGCGAAGCAAGCGACAGCGAAACAATTTTTTAAATTTGTGGCGGTCTTTGGGGAAGTTCTATGTCCAGCAGTGTTCGGCTTTCGGCTGAAATGAAGATAATTATGATAGGATAGGGACATAACAAACAAATCTATTTTCACCTCTGTACCTCAGAAAGGCTTTCTTTCTCATTACAAATCAGCGCGCAAAAGCGTTTTTTGCATGCTAGCGTGGAAAATATTTTTGAAATTCGAACTTGACGATGGACTGTGGTACACCTAACTTTCTTTTTCGATGAAAAAAAGACAATGACACGTTCAACTACGCGATTAGTCGTACATTACATATTTATGTAATATAAATCCGTTAGTATATAGTATATTTTATTCTTATTATTGTTGACATTAAATTAACAATGATAAATAATTGTGTTTATTAAATCATTTTAATTCATCGAAGAACTAAAATAATTTCAATAATCACTTAATCACACATAATAAAAGACAAGCAAGATAAAAATTGATGAGGTGTAAATTCAGAACGCGCCGAAGAAAAACTTTTTCTTTTATCTAAAAAAGCTGATGTTTTATATTTTATAGTTTAGTGTTTTTGTTTTCATCCACCATTTTCTTCGCTATAGTGAGGTGAAAAGTTGTGTGTTTCGCACGGTACCAAATTTGTTTTGAGACTCGTGCCTTCAAACCCTCGCTACTCTCAGGAATCTATTTTTGAATTCTTAGCTTCCTTCGCTTACCCAAGTACTCTCGTCAAACAACAAGTTGTAGCCTTGCATAACAAATAACTATTATTACCTTAGAAATAGCAGTGTTCTAAGGTAGATGATTCTATTTGATTTATAAATGCAAATGATCACGATAATATTTGGTCTGTGCAAATGACGCATAATTTTTTGAAAAAGTTACGTTGCGCAACATACTTCATACGTCGATTACTATGAACCTAACATATCTTGTGTATAAGATCATAGATAATATCATTGAATCGCATAATAAGTTATTTAAAAAAATCTTTCCATACTTCCAAGCGTTTTCATAGCCTTGGTCTCCTTAAAATCCTTCTTCCGTCTTGAAATCGACTTCATAAACACCCTGTATAGCAGCCCGCATTAATTTAATTCACTTTACTTCACTCTTATTTATAAAAATATAAAATTTTTACAAAATAGATACCGGATATGACATCAGACGGAAACCGGAGCGAATCTATAATAAGCCAGGAGCGTTAGTCCAGTATAGTTTCACAATAGCAAAGCTTAAAGTCTTAATGTTACATAGTAAACCATTTTGCTAAACATACTCGTAGTTCACGTATTATAAATATAATAAAAATCGGTATCGCCAGGACTAGTAGGTTTTTATTGATGGTAGTCGATTTTCTTTTTTTGAGTTTTATAAGCATAATATACAGACACTGTACGATTGTACTGAAGTTTTTATTTAAACATGTAAACATGTATATTTTTTTCTCTATTGTTGTGTGTATCTAACCTAATCTAAACTTCATCCACAACTAGCTGACTCAATATACGTATAGATAAGATTGATATCATTGATTGGACAGTAGGGTAAACTCGCCTAATTACGTGGTATATCTAATTCGGTGACAAAGTATTTGGAAGATAATGTAGATTTAAATGACAAGATTTTACACTTTTCAAAGGAATGCTAAGATAGAACGATAACTTTCATTTTCCTTAGTAAAAGTCGGGTTAAAATTTGCTTTGAGCAGTTTTGCTTGCAATTTAGGACCTCACGTTATTTATCTGTTTTAAATAGAAAAAGTGTACGTATTGAGTTAAAACTGTGTCAAGTTCGTGGTCATCAATCAGCTGCTGATTCACAAACTTTCGTATGTAACACGGACTTAAAGTGACTGTCACGTAATTGCCTGTTACCAGTCTTCTATTAATTCTAGATATATTCGTCGCAAATAATATTTATATCTGCAATGATATGACTAAAAGATAGATTAACAATCCTAATAAAAACTTTTTTTTTCAAACAATCAGAAGATTTACTACACAATTGTGTTTTATCATGAAATTAGATGAGGCCATCCTCTACTCATATCCGTCAGCGACACCTCATATTTATTATTAAATAGCGACAACGTGAACATTCTAAATATATATGGATGAAACTTAATGCAGCTTTCTCGTATAAAAATATTGTAGAAGACACATAAATAGTTACAAATATGAGCCTAACTCCTGAACAAGGATCCTCTGCACTATGGGTAGCTAGGTCTTAGGTCGGTCACTTATGTTGCCTTAATATAACTTTCAATAAGTCTACTAGAATATTTACAAAATAATGGTAGAAAGGACATAGAAAGGAGGTGGCTTAAGATTAATTTTGTATAAATTAATTAATTAGTCACGTTTCGAGTTCTTAGGTTTTCGTGATTGTTACATATTCAACTGCCTCTGTGGCCGAGAGGTTCTCGTCTGCCATGCAGAGGTCCCGGGTTTGATTCCTGATGTTTCGGGCCCTTTACAGGTAAACGTTGGTTTGTTTGAAAAAACAAATATACGCGATTTAAATCCGGAAAAACAGTTTCGTTCCCTATGTGTAACAATCGCTAAAACCTAAGAACTCGATATACTTATTAGTTCTAATGTTTATAAACAAAACGAAAAACAGGCAATCCAGTCCGAACAGAAAGACTCAATGAAATATTTTCAATGTAGGAGGAAAGAATAAAAAAGTAACATGTACGATACGATGAATTATCATTAACCAAGTCACAAAAGCACGGTGGGTAGGCAGTCATAACTGCGTGCAGTCATCATTCACTAGTCACCGGCACAAAAGAAACGTGGGTATGGATGGAGTAAACAACTTACAGTACCTACACCAATGTATTTATATAAAACAGCCAACTGTCATAATTACGTGGAAAAACACAAATTATGTTTTAGTTGTATTCAGAGTCAGCAAGTTATCCACAAACCACTAGTAACAAATAACATGCCACGTCACCAGTGGGAGCACGCAGTAGGAGCATGAAGAAACAGCCCTTGTACTGCATAGTCTAAGGATTAACATCAGTGCAACCCTCACCTTCGAAAATAAAAGCCGTGTCATCTGCAAAAGTCACTACTCTGGCCGACGCTACTCCAAGATTACATAAATCGTTCATGTAAACTCAAAATCACGTTAGCTCAAGAACAATTCCCTGGGTTACGCCAAAAGTTACGTTACTCAGTGTTGTTGCTACAAGTACCAAGTTTTACAAATCGATTAGTCAAATAGCCAGTGAAACAGATCAAGACCAGTCTCTTAACTCCAAAAGCTTAGCTTTAGTTTTCTTAGGTAGTAGCGGAATTGAGATGATAGTGAAGGCCATTTTAAGATCCAAGAAGTCACCGATGCATTTATTACCACTGCCTAAACTTTGTACCATGGTTTGAGTAAGCATAATGCTCACTGCTGCATCTTCAGTGCTTTTACCTGGTTGAAAGCCAATTTGGTATGGTGCAAGTACAAATTTGAGCTTTCCACAAAATTTAACAACGGCTAACTTACTACTTTTCCTAAGAGTTTAACAAGAGTGAGCAAAGAGATAGATCGATAATTACTAACATCATGCCTATCTCCCGATTAAAACATAGAACAAACTTGGACAAATTGTACCCTAATAGTCAATCTATCCCATACAGGTTAGCCATTCGTTTTAAATTAACCCAAGTGATCCTACCTCATGTGGGATCAGTTGGGTTGAGAAAAAAAATCGATTTCGATTCGATAAAATGTGGTCCTATGATACGACTCCCTAAATTTGGATAAAAG